TCCAGGATGGATCCCCAGGCGCGGGGTCCCACTACTGGGCTAATAGCAAAGAGGATGATTGGATTGAACACCTGAATCTGAACGTGTTTGTTGAGAGGTGCAGAATATCATGATTATTAATCTTCTTTTCTGCATCTCTGCGAAAATGACACCCAGATTCAGGCGCTTCATCCAATCCGCTTTGCTCGTGGGACCTCGCCCCAGAGGTGATAAGAGCACACCCCTAAGACTCAACACATGCTCTATTCGATGGCTCCAACTTGAATATCCATTGGTGGCGAGCACCACGTGCTCGAAACGAGTTCCAGTGTCCCTGATTCTCTTCCACTCGCACGCTCAGATGGTCTGAGAAACTGGTTCCCGATGGCCTTTTTGCAGAGGGCTGGTTTAAAACACCAATACTCACCGAGTACTAGAATTGTAGTGCACTACTACTGGGACTAAACCGCCACAGCGGCCCTACCCCCCTCGGATCTGGGTCCAAAGCCCTACAGACACACTCACCTAAGTGGCCCACTGCGGCCCTACAAACCAAGTGCAGGACCGTCAGCTTCAATGAACTGCAGGCTTGCTCTGCTTTTGAATTGAATACAAGGCTTAGCCTGGACGATTGAATTGCATACGAGGACGATTGAGATGATTTATGTAGTCTGTAACCTGGAACGCGGTAGCTGTGAGATCCGCAGGCCAGGCAAGTGCCTGTAAACTACTACGCTGGCTGATGCTGCCAGATACCCGGGGTCGAATTGTGAGGTCCCCCCCGAGCTCCAATCATTAATTTGCAATGAATTGACTCAGAGCTGTTTTGGGAAAATAATAATAATAATAATAATAATAATAATAATAATAATAAAACATTGTAGTGCACTCTGCCAACAGGCCAAGTTGAACCAGCACAGTTGCTTTTTGGCTGCTGCAGGCGCCAGCCATTTTCAAATTGGTCCGTTCGCCCTGAGCTCCTGAAAGTTCTGGATGTAAGCGAAGTCACTCTTTTTCTTTCTCCCGAGGTGACTATCGGTAGTTCAAACTACCAAAAATTGCCAATTTAGAATTTTGCCAATTTGAAACCAAACTTGCCAATGGCATCCGGACCTAGTTTGCCAAACCAAAAGTTGCGTTTCCTTGAAGACTAGAGCCTGCAGTGCCGCGGTGATATGCTGAATAATCGAGGTACCCTTCCTTCCCCACCGAACCTCTACCGGGCCTGTAAGGCAAGATATTTGTGGTACCCCCTCACTTACCGAAGGCTCTGCTGGGCCTGGGCACTGTAGATTTGGCCCGGTGCTTATAGACCAGAAGAAAGAACAGTCCAGGGGCTGGCCGCTGGAGTGCTGGTTGCAGTCAATGCACTATCACCAGAACAGCACACTCGACTCTTGTTTTCTTGCACCTGCAGCAGATCTCCTGTACTTCCACAGTTCTTGAGCACAATCGTGCTGCAGTGCCAACTGCTCTGCCCAGGTGCCACAACGGTGAGATTGAGAAGTCAACTGATGGAACTGGGTTACTGGGGCAGGAGGGACCAGAGCTTTGTGATGTCCGCTGAAAACTGCAGACACAGTGCAGATAATTTGGCTCCGTTCTTTCAGACTGCAGTCACTGCGCTAAGAGCCACCTGCTCTCGGCATCGAGTGCAATCCCACAGTGACACACCCTGGTTGAGGGTTCTTCCACAGCCAAGTGGAGTGGATTAGTGAAGAAGTCCCGACAGAGCTCTTATAGCACACTTTTCTTTTTTATCTCTTTGTACACCACCACCTCTCTAAGTTCATTCAAGATTGCAACAAGTCAACTTCAAAATTCAGAGAGAGAGAGAGAGAGAGAGAGAGAGAGATTTGGCGACCATGGTATTAGCTCACAGTAGGCATAGGAGCAGGAGAGGCAACAGTTGCAGTAGACATGCGGATTGCTGTGAGCAGTAAGCAGGACCATGATCGTGGTCGCTGCAGTGGCATCTGAGTTGTGCAGCAGTTATCTCGAAGTACAAGCCACAAGAGCTGAGAGGTGGCAGGGGAATAGTTGCAGTAACAGTGCAGTATCATCATTACCAACAGTCAAAAGTATCAGCTCTTGTCCCCCATCGACGTGGAAGCTTCGGTGTTGTATGGTATGAGCGGCAGAACAGTTGTAGCGGCAGCAGAAATATCCTATATCATATCATGGGCAGCAGCGCTATACTATTATATGGGCATTGCGTCATAATTCCAGTACTACCTAAAAGCAAAACCAACAAGTAATGTCAAGTAAACACAGTACAGTCCATTTCTGTGAGTCAGGTTACAGTCCATTTCTGTGCGTCAGGTCGATGATTACCATAATGCCCGTCTCTCATTCAAGTATGAACAGCTCTGGTGCGGTGTGAACACAATAGTTCTCGTGCCAAGAGACAACACTTCTACCGTGTCTAATCTTGCATCCGTTTCCCAAGAAGATGATTTGAGAGGAATGGAGTGGAGAAAGTGATATCTGCAGCGGCTAGGCATTGACTTCAAGATTCGCAGAGGAACGAGCGAGGGGGAAATCAGTCTCGCTTGATATTGCGTCTGCTCCAAGACGGTGTGATACTGAGGGTATCATCATCGTAGAGGGACTGCGGACTGCTCTGCATCATTCGCACAGCATTGCAATTCGCAACGTCTCTTTGATCTGACAAGGTTAGGATTTTTTTTATTTTTATTTTTGTGACCCGATGGGTCACGGATCAGATATTAAACTCATCAGAACAGACACTACACTTTATCTATTTTTAGCCAAAAGGCCGAGAAAGGTATGCGGTGGGAAAATTAGACATATTAGGTAGGACGAAACAAAGATACAAAAATAGAGAAATGGACATGGGCATGATGTCGATATGTGGGGATGGACAGGGGAGAGCCTCCGTCCTCACCATGCACTCCCAGCGGCACCTACTGCCCGTCTTTTCCAATGATAGGTAGCGTTTGAAC